TTCTAGAAATAAATATAATGACATATTTCCATCCTTCATCATCTTTTTGTGTCAAGACTCCTCTCAATTCTATTGCACTCCAATCTAAGTGTAGTTGGAAAGATCTATTGGCATTTGAACGTCAAAGCACTTGATAATTTTTGCTTCAATGTATTGAATATATGTTATTGCTCACAACTCCAAGTCCATAATTGATCTTTATATATGAAAATAGTTTAAGGCTTAATAATGATACTAATTTTTTTGACAAATATCAGTAGTATTATTTCTATCTTAGGAAACTCCAAACTTATGATACATCATTTGGTATTGGAATTTTGTATAAGGCATCTATCTTTACTTATTATAAGCCAAGACTTTTTGGAATAATCATGTGATCTAAATATAATAATTGTTTATAGAAGAATTTATACTTTTCATTGTGCAAATGCAATCTCTATTGCTATAATCGTTCAAAAACTGCTTGTAAATGTCTCACTTGATTTTATCGTGTACTACTAAAAATGATAATATTATTAATGTAGCATCTAAAAAATGATAAGCTGAAAAAACTTAGTCTATCATCCATTGAAATTCAAATGGTGCATTCTTAAGACCAAATGGAAGAAATTTCTAGTAATAAAGTTGATCTTTGTCATCTTGATCAATTCTCCAAAATACTATTTAAGTAATCTAGTGAAAAAAATTGATAATATGGACTCCTAGTATATACTATAAAAGAAACTATTTTGATACTTGTAACTATCTAAAGGCTAAAAAGGCAACCTATGCTTGCAAACCACTAAGCTTTGTAGTTGACCAATAATCACTTCTAGATCACTACAAGTCCAACATGCCTACAAACAAAAGGATCTGGATAGCCATCAATTCAAATTTATTTATATATTATGCCTATTAATACAAATTAGTACAAATCCAAAATGAGGTAACTATAACAAACCTCCAAAAATAGTATCTACAACTAGAAAAAGGTATCAAAAATAAAATCTAAAAATCTACACTAGATTCTTATCTTTAACAATATATAAGCAAAAATCAAAGTGAACCAAAGAAATTGGCACCTGCTTATCTTTGATGCTTATAAATTGTAAAACCTATGACAATGAAAGATAATTGCAATAACATAAAATATAAAATAATAAAAGAAAATCAAAAATTCACTTAAAAAATAATTGATAATAAATAAATACCACCTCAATGCTCCAAATAACCTCTACTTCAAAAATTTAGTATGTCAATAAACTCTTTGAACCTCTTTTATATAAAATTGGCTCAAAAATAATCAAATTTGGAGTCTATGTGTATTTAGAGTGAGCTTCTAAACTTAACACTTAGGAATTCTTAATAAGATGTATGTTTTTTATTTTAATTTTAATATGGGATTTTTTAATCAAGTAATGGATCTATGATTGCAAACTTATCATTGTGGTCCTATGACCATGAGAACCTTGCCACCATAGATCTTATGACCATAAGGTCATTTGATTGTTAATCTTGTTACTATAGTTCCTATAATCTCAAAGATATCTTGTAACTATACAACCTTGTGACTATTTTTGTGTGGCAAAATTCTTTATCTAGAAATACATCGGATACTTAGCTATAGAGAGTTTAACTTTAACTTATTGGACACGTTCAAATAAATGATGTTTTCTTATTATAAAGGCCAAAAAAATATAATAGTATCTAAAGATATTCTATTGAAAAAATCCTTCTATATTTAAGAAGCTTTATAAATAAGGCTTCCTAAAAGATTTAAAAATAATCTAACATCCTTTGTTATACCAAATCTTAACTAATTATTTACTAATAAGTTTGGTTTCTTATAAGCTTAAAGAAAATCCATAATCCTCTTACAAATATCAATCTTTATATTATAATTTTTCTATAGCTCTATATCTCCATCTTTAACATATATATAAATTCTTGGCTTCCAAAAATCCCTTTACTTTGCATAAAATTCCCAAATTATTGCAAAAATCCTTCAAAATATTTTTCTTCTTCAAAAGATTTTTTTTCTCTAAATTTTAGAAATTCATAACTCTTGATCCAACTATTCAATTTTTTAAAAATTTCTAGATAATATAAGTTATATTCTTAAGCTTTACTATAAAAAAATGAACTATAAATTACTATAGATTATTTGGCATCTTAGAAATCCTAACATGTACTTTAAGTCCTAATTTATAAGCACCCAAATACTATTTTCTCCATATTCCAGAAATCCAAAATAAAAATGCCACAAATCTCATATATAATGTTTATTTATATGATAAAAAATATTCTTAGAAATTTTTAGCTAAAATCTTATCAAATTGTTCAAGATATAGCTTGAAACACAACTATTAGTGAATCAGGTTACTTATTGCCCTTAGATTGAAAGCGCTGACTTCAACTTCCTAAAACTCCTTCATCCTAGCTTAGAATTTATCAAAAAATATGCAAAAAATGTAGTAAAAAAAAAATCTCTTCAATCCTAGTTGCTGATCCTTCATTGCTTTTTGAACGTGCGTGTTATATCCAAAAGAATGACAGTAAGTACAAAATCTACACCCTAACTTTGAGTGCCTATATCTTTTTCATAAAAACTCCAAATCACACAAAGTTTGCACCAAAACCATAACCAAAAACCTAAACTCTCTGATCCTAGCTTCTCAAGTTCAAATGGCCTCAAAAAAATAACCCTAATTCCTAATAAGGCCTTGAACAACCTCCTTAATGCCCATTGGACATGATGTTTGGCCAATAGGAATGGAGATTTTTATCATCCATCTCCACTCATCCATATAGATGCCCTAACTTTCTTTTTTGCTACAAAGATCCCTCTCCAATTCTTTTTCTAATAAGATTTATATAATATATTCCCTAAACATCAAATAAGAGAAACAAAATAAGACTTTAAGAGTCACCAATGTCTAATAAAGGTGACTTTAAATATATAAAAGTCACTATCAACCAAAATCAATCTTAAAAGCCACTATATATATATATATATATATATATATATATAAATTCTAATAGTTGTTCTTTTAAACTTCCTTTCAAAATAGTAATCTAACTACATTCTACAACCAATTTAAATCTACTAATATGGCTCTTACCATGTTACTTAATAAATTGTATATCAAACATATAAACACAATATTTTCACATGGTAGCTGAACCATAGCGCGATATCATGCTTGCCTAAGGTTGTGGCTTGATTCCTTAAACCAGAAGAGAATATCAAAAGCCATTCATTGCCATTGCAATACTTATTATTTTTCTTGCAACTTGTATCAAATCTTTGTACTGCACTGTCTTACACAAAGCACCTCACTAAACAACCTTAAGTTTGCTCCTAATGCCAAAAACCACCAATGCAACTGCCTTGTTGCAATCGAAATAAGTCTTGTAATAATTTCTACAAAATTAAAAATTAAAAATTGTATCTTCTTGTTCTGGAACGATCTCCATGAAAAGAAAAAAAATCAATAGTATGGCCCTTGTAGCTCCGCCTCGCCACCTCACAGTATCACCACCTTGCAACTCTGGTATTGCGTCACATTATTCTTTGCAACTAGTCTTTGCAATCCTTATGCCTCTCCTATGACCCTCTTGTTCAGCATTGTAATCCTAGCTCAATACACTCCGCCTGGTGACTTCATCATTTTAATTATTTTTTTGTCAATTTATTTCTTTATTCCCAAAATAAACTATTATGTTGTTACTTTATTTAAATAATAGAAAATTCAAAATCAATACACTAAAAATTAAGGGTCGTCATTTGCTAAATGATTTATCACATACCAATTATGAAACAAAGCATTTGGTTTTTACCAACTTGTAATACTGTATAAACATTTTCTTTTCTTTTTTATGATTGCTTTTAAATAATCATATTTTTTTCTTGGAAACTATGATAAATTGATTTTGTGTTGTTTTACAATTGTAAATTTTCTATGAGTCATTGCATACTAAACTAAGACCGATTTTTTCTTATGCACTATGATGAGTCAGATTTTTATTACATTTTTTCAAAAAATAATGGTGATTAATTAATTCAATTTAAGGATTCAGAATTTTTTTAAAAAAATCTATTTGAACTAAATCGGCTTAGGTTCATTATTTTTTTTTATTATTGAATCATTTGTTTATTCATTTATTTCTTTATGTAAATACATATAATATGACTTTATGATCTGTGCTTGTACAAAATAAAAAATAAATAAATAAAAATGTTTTTATAATATGATTTCAACATTACAAATTAAGTATGTTTCATGTAACTGACCAATGGCAAGTTGGTCTTGACCATAACAAGTTAGCCTACATTTACAGCAAGATGGAAACTAATGTGACAAAGCTAACAGGATCCTAAACTATTTACAAGTGTAATTCATATCCAGACTTTGGAAAGCTTGATTATCTCAGAGGTGTACTTGAGCAACAAGGTGCATACTGAAGAAATCTGTGAACCTGGTCTAAAAACAAACAGGAAGTCTGTTTCATGAAAATCGTGTGGGATTTACTTGAGCCCGCACCGATCACAAAATAGTTCGTAACAATTCGATCCAGGTAAGTATAAAGGAATACAATGTGCTCAGACTAAAATTACCAGCAAATTACATGTCTGTTAACATCAAGAAGAGCAAGTATTTGCAGACAAAAATAGTACAAATGTACACTCGTACGCTCTTCCTCAGGAAATACTAGCTCTTCCTGCAGAGGAAACAGTACAAATGGACGTTTTGCAATATCGAAATTCACCTCAAGGATGCATGCCGAAGCAGTTTGAGGATCTCCTTGCTGCCAGTTCATTACCAATACTCATGGCTTCATTGTAAAACAAAAAAGGTACACTAGTAACCAGGAAAGTCTAGTTAAATGATTAACTTGTGAGACAAAAATTATTTGCCAAAACATAACGATCACCATAAGGAGGTTTCTGAAAGTGAAAGAAGTCGCTCCGGATCCTGGTCGTATGAAGTTCGTTAAACAATCAACATGTACACAGAAACTTCTGACGAAAAACTAGACTAAATTGAAATATGCAGTAAACATCGACTTTCAATCTTGATATTTCCCAACATGAGAGTTGAGTATACAATCATGAAAATGAAGACTACATCTACATTACCATCAAACTAGGCCTCCATCAAGAGCACAAATCCGTGCCGGCAACACGTGATGGTATCAATGGCATATTGAAAGATGAAAACTGCTTAATGTTAACAGACATTAAGCGGGTTCCATAGCATAGCATACCGCCACTGGCTTCCCAGATTTTGGCCCACAATTACAAGCTCGGAAGAATCAATGAGCAGTCAACACCTGCACTTTCGGATCCCAGATCTGCTGAAAAAGTAAGCTAAACTACTAGTTCTCGCGATTAATCTATATCGCTGTCTGCACCACCCATAGCCTTAAGGCCTCTTGGTCTCTGCATCGTCAGAGGAATTGTCAGCATCAATCACTACTCTGAATATGATCAGAGCTGAACTTACTCAATGCCGCCTATCGTTCTCAAAGTTAAACAAAGCATAACATAAAATCATGACTCACCTTCTTGATGGTCTTTTTCTCTTTTACTTCATAGCGTTCCCTTGTTATATCACAAAGCCAACCTCCAGGGCTGATGAACTGTAACATGCAGGGAGCAAGTTAGAGGACAGTTCCAAATGGAACCCAAAGTTGACCTAAGAAAAGAACAAACAAATATTGAAACTGTATAGGAAGACTTCACAGTTCGTCCTTGACTAAATACAGAGACAGAAGACACTTACACTTATGGCCTTATCCATAAGCTTCGACCTTTTTTTAGGTCGAACTGGGAGCTTGGTACCCTTAATTGCAAGGAAATCGTCCTCTTTTTCCTTTCGTGATAAAGATACCAGAAACTTAGGCCACTGGAAAAAGTCCATATCTACTTTTTCAACTTCATCCGTCTTGTCTTGGTGCACATTGTCTTCCGTCTTTGCAGTAACTACTGGAAGCGTACCAGCCGGTGAACTGGCAGGGGTTATGGTGACATTTTCGGGACTCACTTGTGGTTGCTCTAATTGCACCTTCGCCGTTCGAGCAGTATAAGCTCCGCTCTCAATGATGTTATTAATATTATTGTTAATGCTCAGTGCTGTACATGTAGTTCCAGTACCCTCAGCATCCCTGTCCAGAAAAAAAAAATAAATAAAAAAAAATAAAAAGAGGACTCAGTCATGAAGAAAGAAAGCCAGTGCACACTCTCTAAAAAGCTTCAAGTCGAGCTTACTTTAGCCGGTCGATGATATAAAGGAATGTATAAGAACACTAAATTTGCGCGAACATTACTATGTAATGCATACCTCTTGCTATCTCCGGTAGCTAGTTCAACTGATGGAGAGGGTTTAAAGACACCGGCTGGCCTTTTAATCTTCACAGTAGGTACCCCTGGACTCTTTTCTACCTTCACGGCTCCCCTACCTGTTCTGGGAGAGGCCTTCAAATCCGTCGCGATGTCCTCTGCGGCAGCTTTGACATCAACTCTATTATTAAATCGCAATCGTTTCCTTTGACCCCATTGTGGTAAGCCAACTCCATCAGAACTCGGCCGTTTTGGAACTTGTACTGTTACCACACTTTTCTGAGTCTGTTCTTCAACACGAATTTGACTGCCTTCAGGAACTTTGTGAGCAAGATCATTACTAGACTTGCCTTGTTGAGAAGAAGTTGTCACCTTCAACCTGTTCCCTTGTATCTTGACTAACACTCGTCTATTCACTAGCTTCAAGCAATCTGCAAGTTTCTCATCACCTGTAGGTTCCTCTTTTCGATTACTTTTAACCGCGCCTCTTCTTGAAACAATGACAGGCGCTCCCTCAGGGCTAGCAACCTGATGCTGTCTGCACGTTAACAAAAGCACCTTCAGTGCGATAGAATAGAAGTCAAGATTGAAAACTGGTATTTTCAAAAATTCATTAGAAGAAAGGTTCCAACTGTTCGCCGACTACAAACTAAGCTGAGTGCTGCAAGACGACACAGAAGCGATTCCTCGCATTTACCGAAAATTGGTACGAGCACCCTAAACAACGCGGAACTACGCGTGCGCTCAAGGAAGAGCTCAAAGCACTTCACACTGCTGACAGAAAAGCTCGGGTCAGGCGGCAGCAAGAGCGACTTTTGTGCACAAACATCTCCAAAAAGATTCGAATTCCAGCTAGCTATGCGAAAACATCTACGGAAATTCATAGTTTGTATTCAAATGCGGCACCCTCAACACCCTTAATCAAGACACAACTTGAGATAGATCTAAGTCGCAGATTCCTTGGGGCATTTCAATGTCTGCCAATTTGGAGTCTTCACGTTTTATAGCGGCCTTCCTTACGAAGAAGAGTTTCGACAAAGGATTTCGAAACGAACACTAAAATAAGAGTCCCGAGCGAAATCTCTCACATGTGCAAGAAATGCGTTCGGAGACCACCACTTCGTAACACAGGCGCACTAGATTCGTATACAAGGATCTTTTCGCACTGAAGACGTGTACAGGTTTCCATTGTAAACAAGATTCCCAACACCTATTTCCAACCAAGATTGCTACGTAGCACTCAAATGTCATTACAAAACGCTCAAGAAAGGACACAACGTCACAAGAGCGTCACTAGGTCATCCACTGCAAACTTCCAGATGTACTACACCTCCTCAGTACCTCCCGAATTCACAGAAACATCAATAGAATCGCACGACCGGTGCGCGAGGAGCCAACCTCATTGTAACTGGCAGTAGTGACGGCTCCCGCAACTCTCTACCCCGATCGCGCCAGGGGAAAGAAGCTTGGGTGAGATAAGTCACAAACGAAATTCCATCTTCTGCTGCATACGCACAAATTCCACACTTTCAATTCCACCTACTTCACCCTCCCTCTCTCCCTCCCCGCCTTACGGAAACTACTAACCACGCCACCTCCTCTTGCCCCACCCATCAACGGGACCTTCCTACTCTTCAAAACATCCTCAGAAGCAGAGCCACTCCATCAATTCTAACCAAGCCCTTCCGTCGTCTTCACCACTACAATATCACTACCAAGCTCATTCTCAAAGAACGCCCTCCATAAACCTCGTCAACAACCCATCTCGCCCCTAAAAGACGCTCCGAAATCAACTCTCAAGCGCGCAACCGCTGGCACTTTCCCTCGAATCCTCCGGTTGTCGTCCTCCGTTGCTGAAATTCAGCAGCCAAACCAATGCACAGCTTCGGGTTTCATCAATGGGGAAGCTCTCGCTGCTGTGGGAAACGCTGTTAGCGCTGCACAGCAGTGGGAATCCAAGCAAGAGACCGACGAGTTCGCCCACGGGATGAAGTGTCGTTCGCCCAGTTGACGAATCGCGTCAACATCTTCGGCCTTTCCTTTTTAGTCCGTAAGCCGCGGCAGCTACAAGCCTCATGTCGCGCTCACGTTCTCTGCCGATGTCCCGAACGACGGCCCTTCACGTGGAGACCCGTCCTTAACTAGATGTGACCCTGCTGCTGCACCCGTCGCGGCTATGTCCAACAACGTATTCGAGTTTTGTTAGGGTTCTAGTGCCAGGACCTGGTCTTCGTCGACATGATATCTACTTTCGCAGCTTTAGGTTGTGCTGGTCCTAATGAGTAAGTTGGTATTCAGGGTTTCCGGATTCGAATCTTTAGGGCTGCACCGTTTCCAGGCCCTGATGCGTTTCACCGTGCTGACGAAACGATCGCATGTTTGAGGTGTGTTTGTCGCTGCGGCGGTTCACCCTAACCGGAGCAACTTGTCGTCAGCTTCGTCTTTGTTTCGAAGGAGTTTCTACCTCGTCTCGCTTTACGCAAGACAAATCCAGAAATTATGTGTATGATTTTGTTTTCAGAACGATGAAATGATTGATGGGAGGTTTGCAATTTGTAATATCAGAATGTGCAGGGATCCAATGGAACTGTAAAACTGAAATTGAATAATGAGGTGACATGGTGATCGAAAGTTTTTTTAGCAAACTGCTTTTCTCCCGTTCGATGTTCGAGGAACTCTCTCGGTGCGGCAATGCGTCAGCATGTAGGGAGGACAATCTGCCTTTGATCAACATATTACCTTACTTAATTCTGATAAAATTCTATCTTGTTCACTACCTCTCATTTAATTAAGAAATTCTGGCATCCTGAGCCTAAATTTTGCTACTCCATGAGGTAAGGTGTAAACTCATCGTGAATGTTGATTTGCTCGTCGCCGTTTATGATTCGAAAGCTGGCGAAAAACTCTCCAGACAAGTTTTCATAATGAGCTATTTACTTGTGGAATATGCGCGTATTTTTAAGTTCAGGTGAGAAGTTCGCCAGGTGTACAGAGCTATGGATTTGCTGCCACTTGCAACGGAAGTTCTGCTCTGGAAGATGGGTAGCTTCCCATCTTTCGCTTCCTAACTTTCGGTTGCGTGGGGATGTGGTGAGTGGTTTGCCAGTGATTTACAAGGATTTGTAAGGCTCTTTGAGTGCTAGGAAGTATGAATTAACGTAATCCTTTGCGCGGCATCAATTGAATCGTAGGGCATATCGCAAATCTAACCAGCTTCAAACTAAACGCAACCGTTGACAGGAAGATGTAGGGTTGCGAAAGCTTCGAACAGAATGTATGGTAGCAAAGTTCTGTAACTCCCGAAAACGTGATTATACAAGGTGGGTTTGCCACATCAATGCGCTGCGCTGCTACCTTGATCAAAGAAGCCACGAATCTGTGCAGCCGAAGCAGAATATGCCGCAGCGATGGTGAAACCTCACAAACACATGAGCTATAAAATTCCGCTACGACACTGTTCCGTGCGACATTCAGTCATGAGAATGGATAACAAACACACCCCTTTTTTTTCCCCTTTCTCTCTCGCTCAATGCTGCTGCAAACATGGAATTGCGAGTAACCATGATGCTTCAGCCGTCGTTAGTAATAAATTGATAGTTCCTCCAGCACAAGCGAAGCTTGCGGTGGTTCATTCTACTAGATTCTCCTTGACAGAATCCAATTAGGGTTTCATCCTCTCCCCTTTCTTTCTCTTTCTTTTTATTTAGTTTCCTTTCCAGAGGCTTGAAGATTTACAGAAATCTTTGCAACTAGTATGTATATAGGGAATTGTTGAATTGACCCAAGCATTTACTAAATCAACCCACCCATCATAACCATCATCAAAAAAATTCTCCTTTTTTTTATGAAAACCATGGAAAAAATGGTTGGATTTGCAACTAATGATGATGAGTGGGTCAATTTAGAACATGTTTGGGTCAATTTAACAATTTTCTTTATAAATATATGTATGTATGTATGTATATTTCACCAAAGCACACTTAAGTTTTTAATTACCTATATAAAATAATTATTAATGGTAAAAAAATAAAAGGTAATAATCAGCAAATTAGAATAAATATCAAAACTTTGTGAAATTTTGATGGAAGTAATTTGTAAACTACTATGATTCTTAATTTGGTAATGTTAATAAGAATATTTAGCCTCAAATTATGCCTTACAGGTTTTATTATTATATATGATTGCACTAAAACAATTGCAACATTGTTATTGTTGGATAAAACCAGGCTTTTTGCTATTCATAGTATAAAATCAAATGCTTTCATAATTTACTTAATTTTTGCTTTGTCTGTTGTGTTTTTTTATATTTAATATTATATTTGAATCATTCTAAGTAAATTTTATTTTTAAAAGGCATTTTTAAAATTGGGTAAAGTAACTCTATCTTTGTTATAGTAAATTACAGTAAACTCACATAGAAATTACAGTAAATTTTTGTGTGGGTTAGTGTTTAGAGTATGTCATTTTCTTAGTTTTGAGGACACTATTTGCATTTGTAACCATGTCTTTGTATAGAAATTTATAATAAAGAATGATTATATTTTTCTTTTAAAACTTTATATTGCAAAATATTTATACTATTTTTTTGAAATTTTATTTGTTTCTATCATTATAAGAATTTATCAAGCTGAAGAATATATATTTAACACCACTACTAATTCAATAATGGATTTTATCAGTTAAATTTATATTACTTTAAGTTTATAAAAGTCATTATTTGATTACTTAAATCTTAAATATATTATAAAAACCTTTATATAAAATAAGTATAATATATATGATTATCATTTTAATTTTACAACATGAATAAGAATATAGTTAATTTCGTTTAATAAAATAATATTGACTTTATGACTATAAAAAAACAAAAATGATGATAATAATAAGAATAATTTATTTCATTACTTACAATCAGTACTATTACTTAAAATAAATTATTTGATACATTTATACAATTTATATCTAATAAAAAATTAAAAAATAAAAAAGTTGGCATAAAAGCAAGCCAAATAGTAAATAATAAAAACTCTCTTTTAATTATATTATTGCGAATTCCAAAAACCCTTATATATTGTACATTTTAGAATTGAACCTAGAATATAAATAATTTTTAATTATTTATTAAAAAATAGAAGACCAAAAACCAAATAGTTATTTTTATGAATTATTACATGTATACCTCCTGAAAAATTATTTAAGTTACTTTAACTTTCAACCTTGGTGCAACATATTATTATTCAAAAATGTTTGAGTTAATATCTGATTTTGCAAAATTTTAGCGGTACATTGTTAAAGAATAAAAATTCAAATATACATTTTTTCTATCAATTAATCCCTACATAATTAATAACTACCAATAATTAATCAAAATTTTGAAATTCGGATCCATTCTTTGGTATGTAATTATAAAAAGAATTGACTTTTAGTAATTAATTGATTTTTATTGAATTTTATTAATTAAAAAAAATAACTACCAAATGTCTTTTACTAGTAGGACTATATGATTATTTGTAATTAGGTAAGGTAAGGATAAGTGGCTACAACAGTGGAAGTGGCTAACTTAAATTGTAGGGCTTTAGTAGAGATGATTTCTATCTTGCCTTCAATGTGCTAATTCCAAGGATTAATAATCTTTGATAATTATTACCCTTTCTAGCAATAAATGATATTAATTAACAAAAATTGTATATATTCTTTAAAAATATGAAAACAATTGATATTAATTAACAAAGATTATATATATATATATATATATATATATATATTCTCTATAAACATGAAAATAAATAGTTCAAATATGAATTCATTTTGATCATTGTATAAAATATCATAATTACTACGATATTCACTATTTTTCATTGTTATTCTTTTCAAAAAGTCATCATTAAAATATTACTATAGAAATCATGGCAACAAATTACTATCTATATATAATAAATATGTGATACATGTACATGCTCTAAATTTACACCAATGACACAATCAAATATTTATAAATGTTAAAATGTATATAATTTTCTTAGATGATTTGATGCCATCTCACTATATTGCTCATGTAGTTTAATATAAGTTGCTTGATAAGACAAACATCATATAGAATTACAATAATTAATACTAATTATACAAAATAACATGCATATGATAATATGGTGTACAAAAAATTATTTAGCACTCTTTAAATCTAAATTATTTAAAAAGATGATGAACATAAATAATTATGTATATAATAATTATCAACATTTTTCTACTTTGTATGTATTTTGAATTATATTTTAACAAAGTACACACATAATTAATTACTTTGCTTCCAAATTTTAGATACTTGGTAGAAATCAAGTTGACCACCTCTACAAAAAAAATTGCTTCAATCTAACTAGCGGATTGACAAATATCTAAGAAAACCTCACTAATCCTCAAAATCTTGAATTCCGAAACCATAACCCACAAAAACCTTTATGCTTTTCAATCTAGCCATTCAATTGAATCCAAATTCACAGCACACATCTTGCACAACTACATCCACAAACTCAAAAAATTTCACTCGTAGATCTATTATCAAACTCCTGAAATTGCTCAAAAAGTGAACCCTATTTTATTTTCCAAAAATCAAAGTCACCAAAAATAACATCAACTTTGTAAAGCTCTTATAAAGTCATTATCCACTCAAATCCCCCAAAATTAGTGTCTATAGAAATCTTAGCTAGTCTTTCCTCCAACTTCACTTTCTAATCAACAAAAGAACCCGTAAATTGTTGTTGGGACTTGATTTTGTGTCTTTGGATCTGTTTTCAATCCAGCTTCATAACCAGCCCTCTTTGGATATCAATAACTAGTTAGTTTTTCTAGGTATTTTTTGCTAAAACCAACTCTTTACTTCTTCTTACATATGCCTATATCTTTAATTTTTCTAATCTACCTTATTTTGCCTTAGTTATGGCCCTACAAAGTAAGTAGAAGTCACTTTTTAAAAAAGATAGCATTACTATTAAAAGTTTTATTATCTTTTTATCTTTTATCCATATTTTTTTACTTTATCTTTTAACTTGGCTCTTCTATAATAAAATCTATATTATTATCTTTTACCATATAGTTATGTTAGAACATAATACTAGTTGATTTTTTTAAGAATAGCTTGTGGTAGTCTCAACACAATATTTAGTGTAATCACAACAATTGACCTTGAACTAAATGATAGCTATCAATACACTATCAAAAAATAGTCTAATAATTGCTCTAATACCAATAAAATAGGACCAGTCTATCTTGAGAGTCTATGATTTTCTAGTCTATAGTAGTTATAAACCTCATCACAAAGTAGGACAAATAGATCATAACAAAATTGAACAAAACTAAACAAAATAAGACACAAAAGATAAAATTGTACAAACAAAAATAAAACAAAATAAAATTGAATAGAAAAATACAAAACCAAACTTTACTAAGAGAAAAAAACCAAAATCATATCTGATTAGATGCTCAAAAAGTCCCCGACTAGTCCTATTTATACTTATTCTACCACCTTGGACTTTCTAGAATGTTCCTAGATGATAGACCCCATTTGGATAACTGTTCTAAATTCCTTGTAGAAGGTTCCATAGTAGGCCACACTTAGATAACCATCCTAGGCTCTTTTTAGAATGTTCCACAATAGATCTTACATAGTCCACTTACTTAGTCCCAATTCTAGAAACTTCCATAACTTCTCAAATATAGTTCCAACTATCTATCATTATATGTCAAAAATACAAATATCTTATCTTTATCCTATTATATTGGAGCTAATAATAAGAGATTTTTGGTGGTCTTAAATGGAAAAGATAGTTAAAGACTTTGTACAATCATGTCACATTTATTTAAGATTTAAAACTCTTTGCCATCAACCATATAGACTTCTTTAATCATTATCTATTCTAAAACAAATATAATCTTTTGCTTCTATAGATTTTATTACGGGTCTTCCATTCTAAAGTTCTTATAGTAGATTTTTTTATCAAGATGGCACATTTTATACCATGTATAAAATCTATCATAAGTGAAGAAATAACTAAGCTTTTTCTTCAAAACATCTATCATTATTATGGATTATCCAAAGATATTATATCAAATAGAAAGACTGAAGATTTTAGAATATTATTTTAAAGATTCTAAAGATGGATATAAAACTATCTTTGATTTTTTATCCTAAAATTGATGGAGTGACAAAGCATGTAAACCAAGTTATAGAGTAATATTTAAGATGTATCATCAACTATCAACAAGATGTTTAGACAATTCTTTTGCTATCAACAAAAGTTGCTTATAATAATATGTTACATTTTTCTATGTAAAAAACATCTTTTTTTTATTAATTATAATTATTATTTATATCTTGATGCTTTTGACTTCTCAAAAGTTAATAATCCTATGGCAAAAGAATTAGAAAATTATTTATCTGAGCTACATACAATAATAAATATATAATTAAAAAAAGCTCAAAAATAACAAAAGACCAATACAGATGCCTATTATAAAGAAAACTACCAATTATATGTAAGCAATAAGATATAATTACTTTATTATAATACTAAGAGTAGTTTTTTTTGTCTCAAGTTGGATTACCATAAACTTGGACTATTTTTCATTTGTGAACAAATAAATTCTATTATTTATTGATTACATCTATTAGAATTTATGAAGATTCATCTTATAATCTATGTATCTCTTTTTGAAGAATATGAAATAATAAATAACTTTAAAAAATGACAAATGCTACATCTTTCTATAAAAGTGGATAATAATTAAGAATTCAAGGTGAAAGAAGTTTTAGATTCAAAGTAATGTCAAAGTAGATTGGAATCTTTTGTTCATTAGCATGGATATGATATTAGTGAATACACATGGAAATTAGCAAAAAATCTTACTAATATAGCAAAGA